AGCAGAATAAGTCGGACTATGCGTCTTTACCAAATTGCTCTGTACAACATCAGACGCCATGTTAGCTCTTGTGATATCACGCATTGACTATTGCAACTCCCTACTGGCAGGTCTTCCTACATGTACTATCAAACCCCTTCAGATGATCTGAAGCGTAGCAGCACCACTCGTCTTCAACCTCCCCAAAACAACACATGTCACTCTGTTCATCTCCCTCCACTGGCTCGAATCAAATTTAAAACTGCTGCTCGCTTACAAAAAGCGATGAAAAATGCTCCTCATTATCTAAACTCTCTCATCCAGGTCTACACTCCCTCCCGCCCTCTACGCTCTGACAATGAAAGGCGTCTGATCCAACCTTCACAACAGGGTCCTAAGACGCTGACTAGACTCTTCTCCTCTGTCGCCCCCCAATGGTTGAACAAACTACCAAACTCCATTCGCTCTGCAGAGTCCATCTGCACCTTTAAGAAAAAGCTAAAGACCCAGCTCTTTCATGAACACCTACAACCTTAATAATGATGATGATGATGATATTTAGGATGGTTTTGATGCTGATTAGAACGCTCAAGAACAGCTGTTGATGTTGTGCTCTGCCTCTGGTTACTTCCTGTCAGCACCTCTGGTCACTTACTGACATTGTTCCCTTTTTTCTAGATCCTTGCTTGTGTCGCACTTACTCTCTGATGTACGTCGCTTTGGATAAAAGCGTCTGCTAAATAAATTGTAGAGTATATATATGTGGTGACTCAATGACCTGAGCTTTGACGTCTTTGGAAACGATTATCTAAACTTCAGAAGGAGGTCGTGTTTCCACGTGTTCCTGTGTGTCTGCTGCTGACATGCAACATCTCTCAGATTCAATCTTTGGCAGAAATCTCACAGACGGATCCATTTATTGGCTCCAGATTGAGCTGGAGGGGTTTTAGAAGAGATCTGGGTCTAATGCCTTCAAACGGGGACAGGATAGCAGATATCAGGATGGGACGAATTATCTTTTATTGGAAAGCGAGAGTGCCAACTCGCTTGGAGATTCCTGAAGACAGTTTGTCGTCATCTCGTTAACTTTTGGTTCTCCAACGCTGTCTTAGAGAGCAGCGAGAGCACGGCATGAAATGTCATTCACAGAGAATTCAGCTATTTAAGAGTTATTAGATTTGATTAGTTATCAAAGAGTTATTTAAGAGGGCCCGTTTTAATTCACATTATTACATGTTAAGACTTAGAGCTACCATAAAGTACAGCAGATTGTTTCAGTCTGCAGTCGCTAGGCAGACTTTGATAAATACATAAATATGTTCACTACAGTGTAACAGACAGTTTAAGGCTGTATCATAAACTGCCTGATGACATCACAGAAATGGTATGACTTTTTGTTTCAGAGCACGATGCTCCTTTAATAACCACAAACTGCGGAGACGTCACTCTCTTCAAAGCCACCAAACCTCAAAGACAAAAACATCCATTTTACGGCCTCACTGTGTCGATTTATAGGTTTCTTTGCGTTTAAGCGTTTTAGACAAACACTTTCTTGATCGGTAACAACCCGTGTTGAGACTAACGTGTTACTGTAACGCCACTACCGTGTGTGGTAACCAGTAACAGATAAGTTACTTTTAAGATTCAATAATGCCGTTACTGTTACTGACATTTAAAAGCACTCGGTACTCGTTACTTTATGTGAATGCTGACAACAAGCGGGCAATGTTACGCTAACGTTAGCACAGTAGCATCCTGGGAGAATGAACGTTGCGCACTATGAACAAACACAGGGAGGTGATGATTCAGCTGTGAGCTTTCTGTCTCAGATATACCGATATTATTTTCCCCCTGCTCGAGTGAAACAACAAGAATTTAGCGGTGAGTTGTAGATTGGCGCCGCAGTCATCAAAGACCCAGGTGCTGCTCACGTTAGCTCCACAGACAGAGGAATAATCACTCCATACAAACAGAAGGTTTAAGGTAAACAATTTTTTCAATGCAGTCTGTTGGGTTTTAAGAGAGTATGAGGTCATCTTTCTCTGGTGTCAAAAATCATCTTCTTTAAATGAAGGTCTGTCTCTGTAGGGGTGTTTTCTGTAATGTGATCAGAGATTCAAAATAACAACCTGAGCATGTCAGGGACAAAAACAACTTTTAATGGACGTAAGAACGGTTAACTTAGCATGAAAGATTACACTGCAGAACATAACAGCCTGTTTCATGGCCACCAGGTGACTCACTTTTTGGTCATTTTGACAACAAAATAGGTTTAAAAGATACTGAGGTTTAAAATTATTTGATTTAGGGGCGCTGGTATCTCAGTGGTTAGTGTGCGCCTTAATGAACGGGGGCTGTGGTCCTCGACCTCTGGCTCCTTTCCCACATGTCATTCCCAACTCTCTCTGCCCCTAATTTCTGACTCTGTCCTCTGTCCTGTCACCAAATGAGGGCGTTAAAAGCCCAAAAATAAAAAGGCTTAGAACAAAAATATTGTGTTTAACCTTTAATCTGAGCAGCAGAAATGTAAAACTGATCATCAATGGTTTGTCCTCTCAGTTACAGGAGTATACAAACACCATGGTGCACTTTTCCTTTTATAGACAGATACACCTGTAAACCAAAAAGAGAAAAAGCTTAGCTCCAGCTGCGTGTGAAACAAACCCTTCTTCCTGGCTTTGTTTGGGGAGAGATCAGAGCCGTCAGCTCTCACACTCTGAGCCAAACTCCGAGCTGCTGCTTCTGCTGCTGTTGTTGTGAAATCACTCAGAGACTTTCTGCAGGCTGCTCTCATGGTCCGTTCAAGAGACCATGCATCAGCTTTTACTGCGTTACATCACAAACATGAAGCTGTGAAGTTAACCCACAGGGGGCCTGATGACAGAACTTATCAAAGGCTTTGATTACCTGCAGTCAGAACTCAGAAATGAATGCACCGTAATGAAACGGCTGCATTATGTTTTCTGTTCTTCAGTTCGTTCTTCTCCACTCTTTGTTACTTCGTCTGCGTCATTCTTTTTACGTCATGTCTTGCGTCAGGAGACCCCCCTGCCCTTCCTAACGTCTGACAGGGAAAGTCTCCTGCTGTGAGGTGCATGTGTGAACAACCACATCAGTAGGATTTCTGGGGCAGTGTATGTGAAGACAGCTTGTTAGACACAAGGAGAGTTAGAGAGAGACAGATTCTCTCAGAGACGTTTGTGTTCACGGGTCCGAGCCTCAGTTTGGTTTGTTCTGGTAGACTGAGCTCTGAGCACAAAAATAACTCAAACATGATCCCTGAGACACCTCACAGGTCAAGAGGTCAAAGACACACACAAACACACGCACACACAAATGAGCGCGCGCACACACACACACACACCACACACACACACACACACACACACAGCTCATTAAAAAACTGCAGCCTATAGACATATTTTCAATCCAAGAATCTGAATCTGATTAAAGTGATCCTGTTCTAAATCAGAGGATAGTAATGAGTAGATGAGAGTGTGTGTAACCATAGCAACACTGCCCCCCCCCCCGGGCTCTGATAACTGACAGGTGAATCTTACCCTTTAAAAAGGTCTGAATGTTCAGCATGAAGATGGAAATTATGACTAACAACTGAATATAGTCCCATATGTTCTGTTATTTATGACATACACATAGGTTCCAGGTTGGGAAATTTATAGATCAATTCTGTTCTCGCTAATTACAGTTAAAGTGGCTTCGACAGTTTACAGCGTGTCCTAACAGCACGCGAGCGATTAGATATTGCGTCCCATAGAGCACAACTTTACGCTCACTGTCCACATTGCATCCATTAAATGTTTACTTCCTGCTTGGTGAATCAATTTTCAATCAGAAAACTCGGTCAGATCGAACTAAAATTAACTAATTAATTATTCATTTCCTGTTACTGTGAAGTTTACGGTCACATAATCGTCTACCAATCAGGGTCCAGGAGGCAGACACACTCACTGAAGGGACTTGAGCTTGTATATTTCTTTTCTAGTCTTCTGACTACTCAAAGCTCTTTCACACCGCAGGTCACACCTACACATTCACACACTGATGGTCGATGCTGCTGTGTGAAGAGACCATCAGAAGGAACTAATCCATTCATACACACTCATACGCCGCTGACAAAGCAGAGGGAGCAGCTTGGGGTTAAGTGTCTTACCTGAGGACACATCATAACATGTTGGTGCAGGAGCTGGGGATCAAACCCCTGACCTTTCAGTCGAGAGACGAGCGACTCTTCCAACTGACCCACAGCCACGTTGGGTCTTTGTACTAAAACAGAGTAACGTCTTCTAGCTTCTTTTTGTAAAGTGTCTTCAGATAACATTTGTTATTAATTGGTGTCAGCCTATTAAAATAAAGAGACTTTAACTACTCAACACATCTATTATCTAACTCTTATAAAGTTTATATAACTACTTGGCTGTGTAGGCCTATAGTTTACTTTATACTCACCAGATGTAAATACTTTGTTTTTGAATTTTATTGGGATCTTTTCTTATTTTAGCTGCATGCTCTTATTTTTGTCTGAATGTTCCCACCAGAGATCAGCCAAGTATGATCTTACTTTATCTTATCTTAAAGCATGAACACAAGAACTTACTTTCTATAATTGTTACGGTTTTGTGAGTATTTTGAATATTCTGGCTTTGAGAAAAGATTAAAAGGTATCTTTTCCTAAAGTGAGCTGCAGACACTTTCTAACTTGACACATGAAAACTTTCTGGAAATCTGACGTTGTGTTTGATGTTTTTCAGTCTTCATCTTTATTCTTGTATTCGTGTCAGTACGTTATAATTAAACATAAAGGTGTTTCACGCGCAGTCACTTGGTTGTTTGTGCTGCAGCTCGTGAAGGCCTCAGCGTGCAGCAGGACTCTTCTGAGCTCTGCTGTCATGCACTCAAAGTTTCCTACAGAGTCAACTCTCCGCTCGCCTCCTCCATCCTCTCTCTCTCTCTCTCTCTCTCTCCGTTAGAAGATCGATCAAACAAACAAGTCAGCTGTTTACCTGTCCGCGCGCTCCCTCCGGATCCACAACAAGCAGCAGCAGCAGCAGCGGTGAGCTCCTCTTCTCTCCTCACCGCTCGGATCCGTTTTTTCTCGGAGTTCAGTCCCGGCTGCTCGGAGGTTTGCGGTCGCAGACAGACGGAGGAGCTCACAGGATCATGGTGGAGAAAAGCGACGGTGTCTTTACCTCCGAATTCATTCCCTGACTCACTTCATTTGACGTCTTTTTTCGTCTTCTTCTGCGACTTTTCCTCCAGCGGTGTGTTTGAGGTGGAGAAGCTCTGCACACTCCGCAGAGAGGAGCAGGGAAGGAAAAAAAAAAAAGTTTCTGTGTATTTGCATCACATCCCGTTTCCGAATTGGAGGAGGAGGAGGAGGAAGGCAACATGAGCCCCCTGAGTGTCTGACATCTGAGAACCTGAAGGAGAAGGTTCCTACGAAGGGAACTACGGAGAGCACAAGAGGGACTTTTCTCAGTTTTACATCACTTTTTAATGTTTGTCTTCAAACTATATTTAACTTCTGCTTCACTTCTTATTTCTAAGATACGTTTGACTGTTCAAAAGCACGACATTTTCTGGATGTTGCTTTTTAAATAAAGTAAGAATGATAGATTGGTGTTGCTTAATTTGAAATGGTGAATTCTCCAAAACACTTACAACTTATTTCATTCACAAAATGTAGTAGGCTACATGCATCACATTTAGAAATTCGTGAATCAAATCTATCTCATCTTCATACAGTATGATATTCTTCTTAATTAAACAGTATGTTGTGATATTAATCTCTTCACAAATAAGGTATTTGACTTGTGACTATAATGACAAATAGATGTTCATACCTATGGTTCATACTTTCAAGGTTTTCCTTGTATGTGTGTTTATTTGTTTTAGACAGCAGGGGGCAGCACAGACTCACATTAAAATGTTGCAGATCGGCAGAAGTTTCAGAGCCCAGTTTAAAAGTAATCTGATGAACATTTTGACATTGAGTTAATGGCTCAAAAGGAGAAAAAAATGGATTCTTAAATTAATGGAGATTTGATTTATTTGTCCCACAAGGTGAGATGTTTGTCTTGGGCTCTTCACCCATGCTGCAGCCATAAAAAAACAACATTCAACAAAACTGACATTAAACATAAAACAATAAATATTCAGTCCTAGTCCAGTGCCTATCCTGCCCAATTTTCCACCATTTAAAAGCTTTACAGACTCAGTGATACATTACATTTTAAACATGTTCAGTCTCTGATGAGGAACTCTAAATGAGTCGGAGGGCAGCAGCTCATACTTTGAAATGTAGAACATGTGATGAGTCACTGACAAACCTCATTGACTCGTCTCAGAGTATCCTGTTCAAAAGTAGTCTGCAGGGATGTGTGATGTTTAAATGGCGTGTTCTTAATTTTATCTGCATCAAACAAAGGCTGTAAATATTAATGGATGAAGCCTGAGTGGTGTCACCCTGCTGTTCCTGCAGGTGGGAGTCCCATCGATGGCGGTCTCCGCGGTCAGCTACGCGTCTTACTGTGAATAACGCTTATCCTTCATCAAATCAAAACAGATGAGTTATCAAAAAAATTCACCCCCTACAGCGTGTATCGATCGAGCTAATCAGACGTATGTGGTATTTTGAACCAGGCTGTAAACATGTTAATTTCTGCTGTAAAGACTGACTTTTTTGATGTGACTTCCTGTGCTTCTGCAGCCAGCCTCTAGTGGACACTTGAGGAACTGCAGGATTGTACACTCAGCATCGGCTTGATTTTTCAACACAGGGGGTTGCCGCTTGGTGTCAAACCTCTGGTTTGTGTTTTTACATTTCTGAGATCACTTGAAATCAAAAATCTGGATTATCCCGATCCCAATAGAGGGATGGATTAAGGTTCGATTACAGGAAATACATGTAAAACAAGTGTAAACTGGTCAAACAATAAGCCTGCAACATTTTTACAATGATTTTCATTATTTTCCCCAACTGCATTGATTGACTGCTAATATGACCTGAAAGGTTTTAAAAAAGAATGTACATTTAAGAAAATGTAAGATGAATTCTCAATGAAATAATTCACTGGAAAGCATCAATATCAAACATAAAGTACTTAATCTTTAAGAGCTGTCAGGATCTCTGATATTTTCTGGGATCTGGTGTCTCGTGTGGACAAAGTAGGCATTTTCATTTTTCAGCAACATTGGAAATCATCCAGCAGGGGGATCTGTTGCTCTTTTGTTTTTCTTCCAATCTTCTGCTTCAAGCAACGTTTCATCATCCGACACATGACACATCACTTCCTCCTTCTGATTCAAACAGTGTCGACAGCAGGGTCCCCTCACTGTGACTCTGATTACACAAAAACAAGCACAGCAGTGAGAGAGGGGACCCACCACATGACCCTCACACCCACACACGTCAACCCACGCACACAATAACAGCAACACAAATACGTCACAACATGAGTGTGAAGCTGCTGGAAAAAAACTGAGAAGGAAAACTTCCTGCAGAGTTTGTGCCAAATATTCAGGACACAGAGAGTGACATAATAAGTATTTCAGAATATTAATTTATGTAGAATACAAAAATATACATACAAATAAATACAATTAAATTCATAAAGTATAATCAGTGGCAGCTGGTGCATCATTTTCCAGGGAGGGGTCGGGGTGCGATTCCTCACAGATGGACTGAGATGTATATCTCTGTTTGAGATACGCCGGAGTCTAGCGCCCAAGACCGGAAACAAATCACCAATCAGTAAGTGAACCTTTTTAGAATTTTTATTTTATTTTTTTGCAGATTAAACAATTTACTCTTCAACAACAATGTTTACTTTGCTCTTTTAAACTTGTACATGCATGTATAAAAATCTAATTCAGTGAAGGCCTGTCATTCTCCTTGTGACGAGCTGTACAAACAGTCAGATCGTTTCTTTGATGCATTTAAATCAAACTTCCTCACAAAGTAAATCAGCTTTCTGACTGACCTTAGAGGAAGTGATGTCACTGCTGAGGTGATGCAACAGTAAAAGCACAACATTACTCACAAAAATAACATTTACTCACAGTGAAGTTCATCCGGCAGACGCTCAGAGGGGCTACAGCCTGACCTCTGACCTTTGAGACCATCACAGTTAAAGGTGTAAGTCTGCTTTCTCTTAGTCAGAATCAGAGAATTACAACCTTTAACAAGAAAGCTCATCTCTTACTAATTTTAATTCTTTATCAAAGTCTTTCTGCAGTTACTGTAGAACAGATAGAAACATAGTTATGTGACATAAAGCAACTCAACAGCGTTTTACAGCTGTATTATTTATTTATTATTGTGCAAAGTCTCCAGACAAAGCAATAATTCAGTTGGTTCCTGGATGGTGTGTGAGGATCGAGTGTAAATTCTAGCCATTATGATACATCACATACCACATCAACACACCCACCTGCACACCTTCCATTCATCTCACTGTACCCCCCTCCCCCCTGTCCACCATGGGGTCCCGAGCCTTCAGTCGCTCTACCTCTGGAACTCCCACCCACCACACATCAATAATGTTGACTCTCTCTCTCGATTTTCAAATCTCATCTCAAAACACGTCTTTTTAAACTGGCATGTTCAGCGTGATCATTCTCCATATCGTACTCGTTCAGGAAACTGACTTTTAATATAAGCGATATGTAATTAAAGCTCAAAGGGCTTTCAGTACAACAAGACAAGAACTGCAGGCCATCCTGAGAGAGGAGCAGAAACTCAGCTGATAACAACCAGACCAGCTTCATAGAACCTCCGGACCGTTTGCGTAAACCTGCCCAAATGTGGCTGTAAGAGCAGCTCCGACCTCCACACACTGTAAACATCTACGCCACAATCCAGGCACCAGTTTACTCCTCCTCACATCGAGGCTCTTAACCAAAACTCGTAAAGCTCGGATGGTGGCCTCACTCAAAAAGTCATGCTCCAAAATGTTGTCAACTTTCCAAGTAGGTCCCATGACCACATGAATAATTAAAGATAACAATGACACTTCACATATTGTTTTTTTTTGGCCAATAAAAGAAGTTACCAATTTCAAAACAAACTCTGCCCAGGAAGTTCCTCAACATTTAAGAGTACTTTCCCCTCTGAAGAAGGGACTTTTACGCATCATGGGACTGTCACACACAGCATTATTTAGTCAAAACATCAACTGGTTCCTCAAAAGGTTTTTGTGCCCCAGCTGGGTAAATATCCTCTGTGTGGGAAACAAGAAGGAAGTCATGACCTACGATGAGCAGAGTCTAATATTAGCTTTTAGGTTGGCAGCAGAAGGGCCCGAGCTCTTGAGGAGACAAATCTGTGAGGCAAGGTGCAGCTGGTGTCATGGTGTATTAAATGCAACTGTGCACAGTCGTAAGACACACATAGGACTGTCTAAGTAGTCAGGCCTTATCTTCTCTGTTAACCCACCTTTACTCCCAAAAACCCCAAATCTCATCAGAGTTCCTCATCATGTTTAAAAATAGCTCTTTACTCATCACTGTGTCTATGAAAGAGGTCATTTACTGCAGAGGAGGAGTGCAGTGTTTATTTCTGTTATCAGAGAACTCAGATTAAAGTCGTCACACTTTGAAGCCGCAGTGTTTCATTCATTCGAGCCGCTGAACGCTGTTATCAACATTAACTCTTGGTGATTCATGCAGACAAACAGCAGGGCGAAGGAGGTGGAGACAGGCCTGAGGTCAGACCGAGGTTCATCTGGACACATTCCAGCTGGCTGCTGTCACACACAGATTTATTCATTGAGTTAGACTGAATCAGCTGGACAAATGTGGTGACAGGAGCATGAAAAATACAGTGACACAGTGTGAGCGAGGTGTTTTGGATGGTCTGTGTTTCTATAGTGACTGTACGTCATGATCATGAGAGGAATTCATTCTTTAAAGGAGCAATATGTAATTCTGACACCTAGTGTTATAAACTGGTACTGCATTGTAGAGAGCTGTCTCCCCCCACCCCATCCTCTCTGGAGTCGATGATGACACAGGTTGCCATGTTGACGTTTGAAGCTTCAGTGTTTAGCCAGCTCTTTTTCTTCTCAGCTCATTGGCTGTTCTCAGTACGGTCGCGAGCAGAACTAAATGTTCGGCCGTGTTTCAGCTTATTCAATTCTGATTCACAGGCAGCGCTGCGGAGAAGTACTGAACAATTCGGTGAACGAATCACTTTACTGAACTGATTCTACTGATTCAGTACACTGAAAAGAACTGCTTTTCCCATCACTATAATGGAGGTCACGGCATGAGGAAGCCAGCAAAACCACCTTTCAGGTTAAACTAAATTCTTCTGTTCTGTGTGATCGACAAATGATTTTTGGTTTCAGCAAGCAATGAGGAAGATATTACAACTGTTGGGGAGATCTGCCCTACTTCTACTTCTGTTCCTGAGAAAC